GCAGAATTTAGGGGAGAGTGTAGCTGCAATGTGGCATTCATGGAAGGAATGTAGTATGATAGAAACCTGGAAAGGAAGGCTGGGTGCCAGATTTTGAGGGCCTTGAATACCAACATAAAACATCTGAATTTCACCCAGTAAGCAATAGAATTATCGGCAGGTTTTGATCAGAGGAATGACCGGTTTTATTTTTACAACAGGAATAGAAGTCTGGAAACAATACAAAGGATGATTAGGAAAGACTGATTGAAGGGAAGGGAAACAGAATTCTGCCAAGGTAGAAATAAAGGCTACATCTCCATGACAATAAAATCAACCAGACACTACCCAGCAATAGAACTTTGGTCACTTCTCTCCATTTATGTTGGCTTCAGAACCCAGACAGGCTACTATCCATGAACCTTAGCTGGCTGGCATTAGCACAAAGTGAAATCCATTCTGGAATGCATTAACTCTACTTGCTTTCAAGGCCAAAAGCTTGAAATCTTCTTTATCCAGCTATTTTTCCCGTGCCCAACCACATCAATCCAGGCCTGAATCAGCAGCATCCTTAGTGAGCCACAATTCTTGTACTGGAATGTCATCTGCACCAAGTTAATAATAGAAGTAATGTACCATCCCACTAATGGCTGATTAGAGGACATTTAACAAGGTAATTCTTGGGAGGTCAGCTATTCTCACAGGACATGTGAAGAAAGTACTTAGGTTTTAGGACATTTTTGCTGTTTTCCTGTGGAAAGACATGTAAGAAAAAAAACAAAACCTTTTCATTCTGCCTCCTTATGTTTCCAGGATATATGATCACAGATACAGAACCACATGGGACCTCAGAGACCATCTGGGTCAACCCCTTCATTTTATAATTGAGGAAAATAAGTGCCATGGAAGTTAAGTGACTTGCCCAGAATCACTCAGCTAACAAGCATTGGAGATGGTATTTGAGCCCTGGTCCTTTAACTGGTGAGGCAGTGCTCTTTCTGCTGTACCACACTGCCTCCACAAATCATCTGACAATGCTTTGGAGAGCTACTGGATGGGAGCATAGAGAAGGCGATGACAAGTTTATTCCCAAAGATGTATAGAGACCAATGTGTAGGGACAATTATTTCCTAATTCTACACAAAGCACATGGGAAAGAAGAATCCCTTAGTTCTTTAGAGGAGTACTTGGACCTTGGCAAAAAAGTAATACAATTAATTAATCTATACCTAGTATTCCTTCTGCAGGTGTCAAGTGGATACAGGATCCTTCTTCTCACTGAGGAGCAGAGATCACCAAAGGCTATGCCTGAGAGATCCTCCACATGGTATCCCTTGCCTCCTCAAAACAGAAGCACTGATCTCTACCATCCCACTCCCCCACCCCAACTCACTCTCTAACACTCTCTGTCTCTCTGTCTCCTTTGTCTCTGTCTCCGTCTCTCTCACTGGGGGCTCTAAGTTGCAGCAAAGTTCATAAGTACAATACTCCCTGCACATGTTTGACAGAATCCCATTGGCAGGTGAAAGTAGATGTGCACAATTTTTTTTTTAGATCAATAAAGTCCTAAGTCACCTATTAAAGGCAAAAGAAAGATATGTTTGCCAGGACAAGGTCATATCCCCATAATGAACATATTTACCTGAATTCATTCAATCAACAAATACTCTGTAAATACTTTGATATTACTTATCTCTATACATTACGTATCCTCCCTGGAGGAAATTAGCTCCTCGAGGGCAAGAATTTTCAGTTTTGTCTTTGTACAGTTTGGGTGTCTTTACATTCCCTGTGCCTAGTACGGTGTCTGGTGTATGGTAGGTGTTTAATACAAGCCTGTAGAATTCAGTTGCTGAATCAGATAAACATGGAGTTGTAGAAAGAGCTCTGGATTAAAAGTCAGAGGATCTGGGTTCAAATTCCTCCTCTGTCACTTAATACCCATGTGACCAAAGGCAAGTCACTTGACCAGAGCCTCAATATTGTCATCTGAAAAAAAAACGGAGTTAATAATACCTATGCTTTCTGCTTCACAGGGTTGTCATAAGAATCAGATGAGATAATGTAGTTGAAGTGCAACCCACCCTAGAATGCTATATAAATGGGAGCTATTGCTGTATGCCCTTCAAAACCAGCAGGAAATGCCAATAAGGGTAAAGGTTATAGGATAAAATAATTCCTCAATTTTTAATCTCCAGGAACATTTGACACTTTGGGCTTTTCCTTACTATGCATTTTCTTAAGGCCTACATTTTCGATTGTGTGTTACATATGCTTTATCCATCTGGAACCCTTATGAGAAAATAGTAATAACTGACATTTATATAGCACTTTGGGGTTTACAAAGTACTTGAATTAATGTAATCTCATTCCCACAACATCCCATCCACCTATCCCAATAAAGGTGGGCATTATTATCATCACTATTTTACAAATAAGGAAACTGAGGTTAAGAGAGGTTAGGTGATTTACCAATGGGTTCAGAGCTCCTAAGTCCAAATCTCTCTACCACACATTTCTAGCACTGGAACTCAAGTTAAGGACCATGAGTGACAAAACCCAAGTGGTGACAATCCTAATGATTAACAATTAAATTGTAATTGAAAACTGCCCAAGAAAGAATGCTTATAAAAACTGAACATGGCCCTCACGCAAATGCCTTTGGGAATGCTTAACTACTCAACATATTTAGATGCGTCCCCAGAAAAATCCAGGGAAAACCAATGATTTGGCGACTACCAAATGGAACACAATACTAAGCTATCCTGTGAGGTCAGAGGTCCAAGATCTTTTATGAGACTCCAAACATTAATTGATCCCATGAATTCTGTGGCCCCATCAGAGTACAAGGAGGAACAAAGCAACAGATGGTAGGTCTCCCAATTTCAAAGGCCTTTCAAGACAGGCTTTCCATCAAAAACAGACGGTCAGCATCTTGTTTTTTAGAGCTCAAATGACCTCAGAGATCACCTAGCCCCACCCTCTCATCTTTTTTTTTTTGTTTTGTTTTGTTTTTAGGCAATTGGGGTTAAGTGACTTGCCCAGGGTCACACAGCTAGTGAAGTATCAAGTGTTTGGTCTGAGGCTGGATTTGAACTCAGGTCCTCCCGACTTCAGGGCCAGCGCTTTATCCACTGAGCCACCTAGCTGCCCCCCTCTCATCTTATATAAGAAGAGAAAGTAAAGTAATTTGCCTGTGGATCAAGTAAGAAGTCAGAGGCAAAGTTAGGATGAAAATTCACGTCTTGACTCCCAATTCCATGTGGGAATCTATATCATATAGTCTTATATTGAGAAATATGGTTCCAACCCCAGATGTACTTATAAGGGCTTTTTAAAAAGATCATGCCACCTTTTTTCTCAAAACTGAGAAAAATACACTCTCTTCTTGTCCTAGTGCTTTGCTAGCATCTATAAAAATAGCTACTTAGCAGGCTGGGGAGATCCACAAGGTCCCATAACATTGGGTAAAACTTCCAGGCAGCTTGGCATAGTGGAAAGAACACTGGCTCTGGAGATACAAGACCCGAGTTCTAATCTTGCCTCTGCTGCTTAATGTCAACATGACCGTGGGCAATTCACTTAATTTCCCTGGACTTCAGTTTCCTGAAGTTAAAATCTGTAAAATGAGGGGATTAGACTTCATGGCTTCTGAGGTCCTTTCCACCTCTAGATCAATGATCCTGTGATCAAGATTCATGCTTGATTTGGATTAGTGACTTCATTAAAAATAAGGAGGTCAGGGATTTAACAGAGTTATCATTGCTGTTCTCTATGGCTCCCCTCTGGGAAGACAGATCACTATCCTACAAGTCACTGAGAAAAGGACAAATGTTTTCTAGGGCAACCCAATCTTAAGTAAGAGACAAATATTACCACTCTGTATCTAAAAAGTAGGTAAAGAATCAATTCCATAGGACCAAAGGGCTTTGTCCAAGGTCCTACTTTAGAAAATCACACACATTCAAATTCTGAGCAGATACGATGCTGGATCTCTCTTTCATTATATACTACAAAGCTTCCATCGAGCTCACTCAAAATCCCAATTTGTAGAAGAAGTCTTTCCTGATCCTCCCTAATTCTAATGCGTTCCCTCTGTGATTATTTCCAACTTACCCAGTATGTTCGACAACATAGTTGTTCACAAAGTTGTCTCCCTCATTAGACTGTGAACTCCTTGAGAACAGGGGCTATCTCTTATCTTTCTTTGTATCGCCAGCACTTAGCATAGTGCCTAGCACATGGTAGGTGCTTTAAAAAATGCTTTTTGAGGGATTACAGGAAGGCTTACATCCTGATACCCCCACCACACACACAGAATCAGCATTAGGAAATTATTCCCCAAAGGGAAGAAAAACATCATACACTTTCACAAAATGAAAAAACCCACTGATTCTTTTGGATTTCTTTTTATGGCCTGACACACTTTAGGCACTCAACGTTTGTTGAATTGAATTCTCCTCCCCTAACTACCTTAGCCCAAAGGACCAGCTATTAACTAGTCTTGAAACACATTAAAATTTCCCCCCCATGTTGCAACTCTTCTCAAACTTCCTAATTTTGATCATAATAAAATATTAATCCATGGATCCAGAGTCTTGTTCATAGAAGCCCTTCCTTTCACCACATTTTCTCCTCCTGGGAGTCAGAGATGGGGAATGTGAGCTGAGCACTTAGATGAGGAGGAGAAGCACACCCAGCTGTCTCCTGTGACATGTTCCCTTGTACCCAGGACAGATTATTACCCCAGTCAATAGAATGTCATTAGTTTGATCATATTAACTATTGCTTTCATCTCCAATGTGCTTTTTCAAAAGCCTCCAAACCACACCATAATAGTTTTCTAACTCTTAACAGTTCCCTCACCCTTCCTTTTCTTTTTTGCAAACAATGGGCATGTCAACTGTAGGCTGGCTAGCAGTCCTACCACCCTCTAAGGCCATCAAATGTTAGCTTGCTAAGAGAGATGTGTAATTACTCAATCCTTTTAGAAAGTAAAAATAAATCTTAATCCAACTTACCCTTGTTTCCCAGGAGAAAGGGGCAGAGTGTTCATCCTGCCAAGTTATATCCTGAAATAAAAATTCAAGAGTAAGCATGAAATACAAACTCAGGCTTACAAAACCTAAACCCATGACCCAGTCGTGGACAAACCATGCCTCTGAGACTGTCCTCACTCCATGCCTCTAATATATTGATCTTGAGGGGGACAATATTCTGACCTTAAAATCTTTTCCACCTTAGATATCAAGAGTCAAGTTTGCTTATTTAGCCTTCAGTTGATTTGGTATCTTTACTGAAGGGCTGTGTGACTACCCCAAAGCCTTGAAAGGAACGGAGTATGGTTTTAATCAAACAGATAAATGTAGTATCCATTTAATAATGCACTTAATAAAGGAGACTAAGAAGGGTAAGAGGAGTTTAGAAATTAATTTATTGGGCTAAACAGAACATCAAAGAGACCATGAAAAAGTCACCATGTGCTTGGACTTTGGTCCAATGTAAAATCCACGAGGGCAGGGACAAAGTCTTACCTTTACTTTATATCACACCTAGCACCCAGAATAGTGTCCTTTACACAGTAAGCACTTAAATGTTGTTTATGTTTAAGTAGGCACTTACATCCCTTTGAGATCTAGGTTCATGATCCTACAATCACACCTGTTATTTCTTCGGCTCTGCTCTGAACGGTTATCAATGGAAACCCAAATGAGGGCAGGATAAGTGTAGATGAGAAATCCCAGAAATTGGTCTGAATGGGCAATAAGGTTAAGGAGTATTGTCCTCTATAAGATTTCCTAGTCAACAGTGTTTCTGCTAAGCCACCTGCCAAATGTTGTGTCCGTGCACAGCTGAAGTTAAACTAGACAGCCCTATCCAAAACTGTGAGTCAGGGTAAGTTAATTTTAGTACTCAGTATTCTTTTTCAATGGCCTTTCTGAGGCCTTGGTGGTATCCTCTCCTGCCAGTGGTGAACACAGGTCACAGGGTCATCAATTTAGAGCTGGAAGTCCTCTTATCCAAACTTCTCTTTTTACAGGTGATAAAACTGAGACCAAGAAAGTTAAGAAATTTGCCCAAGGACAGAGCTGGACAACTCTGATACCAAATTCAGCACTTAAGCCACTAGACTATGTTTTATAAAATTATGTAATTTAATCCTGGAGAGATGATCTTGTCCAACTATTTCACAGATAGAGAATAAGGGTAAGTGACTTTGACCGAGACCACCCAGTGGCAAAATCAAGATTAGGACCCAAGTCTCCTGACTGTTGACCTTTCGACTCACCATTCTAGTCCTCTGTCTTGTATTTTCAGTTTGTTTTCTTCCCAGGTGAACTATAGTGTATTTTTTCTCATTAACTTTAATCTTATTTGCTTTTTACTACTTCAACTCAGCAAAGTTACTTCTGAATTATCTTATTCACTTTCAATATGTTAACCATCTCTTATCTCCACCCTTTAATTAACCTTTTATGACCACACTCTGTATTGCATTATTCAAGTCACTAATAAAAAAATGGGGCATAAGAATGACACAGATGGAATACCATCCCTGTTGTATTCCCTAGACTAACAGGGATATACTAAGCTAAACAACAACCTCTGGTGCCAATCAGTTTTGGGCACATTTAACTATGACCTTCACTTCCATTAAACATTAAGTGCCTACTATGGGCACAGGGCTGGGCTAGATGCTCTGGGAATTACAACAATTAGTTATCACATGGTCCCTAAACTCATGGAACATGCAGTGTGGGGTTTCTGGATTATATATTCCTAATTTTTAATGAGTATATTAATACTATCTATACTTGAAGAAGTTTTTCTTAAATATAGATTCCTCTATCATTTTCCTTCATCTACCAAATCTAAAAAGGTCAACTTAATAAGATTTTGATAGCTGTGGTCCATTATACCTGCTGGTCAAAGTTACTTACTTCTCTGCTACTATAGGATTGCTCAAACAGAGGCAAACTCTTAGCACACAGCCACTCTTGACAGGATGCTGAGAGTGTTTCACTTTTTTGGTGACAAGTTAGAGAAATGTCAGTCTCCTCCTATTTGCATATTCTCATTCTCTACCTCTCTCTTTCCCTCTCCCCCCCATCTCTCTCTCTCTCTCTCTCTCTCTCTTTCCCTCTCTCTCTCTCATATCTCCAGGTACTCTATCTTCTTTTTCTCAGCCTACAAACATTCTCAAGTTTCCTCTATTCCCTTTTTTTCATTTAAAACTTTTATTTTAACATATTTTCCTATTTATTTTTAAAATATATTTATTTTTATTATGAATTTAGCAAAAATCAATAAATATGAACATTCCACATACAAAGAACATAGAAGATTGCATATGACATTGCAAATCTCCATTATGTAAAGCTTTTTTGAAAAACAATATAGAAAGAAAAAAGGAATATGCCAAGAAACCCCAAATGGGGTCACAAAGAGTCAGATATGACTGAAATGACCAAACGACAGCAACAAAACGTTAAACTAAATGTCGTATCCATGAAGCCCATTTTAACCATCATCATTTAAAGGTGCCTCTGGAACTGAGCTTACAGAAGTAGTCCTGGTTAGAGCTTTTGTGTTTTGAACTCTCTTCTGCCCTTTTCTCTTCTCCAGACCACTTAGGTCATTTGCTTGCTCCTGGTGTTACTGTGCCTAATGCCTCAAAGCAACTGCTGAGCAGGACATAGGAAGAAGTAAGTTTCTTCTCTTCTCAAAAGGCATTGCCTTGATTTCTCAAACTATCATCTTAACTCTGTTTTCCCCTTCAGTGCCATACTTCTTGAGTAGTCCATCCTCTGCTGCCTCTTTTTTCTCACCATTCTTTCACTCCTCAATACTTTGTAATCTGGCTTCCAAGACTGAAAGTTTCTTTAAAGACATTAATGACTTCCTTATCACTTCTGAAAGTAGAAGTTTCCCTCTCCTCCCTACCCAAGTGCTATCCTTAGTGCTTCCATCTCTCCTTACTCTCTTTCTTTTGGCAACCTCATCCACTCCCAATGTTTCAGTTATCTCTATACAAGTAGTTCCCAAATCCATATCTCCATTTGCAACATTTCACCAAAGCTCCCCAATCAATCTCTCTATTCATATGTTCCAACAACTCAAACTAAACACATGCAAGATTCAATTCCTCATCTTCCCCCCAAAAAACTGCTCTTTCCCCAACTTTTAAAATTTCTGTGGATCATCCTCCCACCTAATTAGGCTCCTTAATCTCTTCTCTGGCATCCAATCAATTTGCCAAATCCTGTTGATTCTAGTTTCAAGACAGCTCCTTTGTCTGTCCTTTTTTTTGCTTTGACTCTAGCTACCCTAAATCAAGCTTTTATTAGACATATTCTCTCTCCACCCCATCCTTCACACTGCTAAATAATCATCTAATATAAACTCTGATCATATCACTCCTCTACTCCAAAGAAGAAAAAAAAAAATCAATGAATCTCCATTATATAACAAATAAAAGATAAACTCACAATACTGGTATTGAAGACCCTCTATAATCTGGCTCCAGACTACCATTCTAGCCTTATTTGATATTATTCCCCACCATCTCAGGGGAATTAAAAAATTCCACTCTTTTCTTGCCCTCTCTCAAATCTAGGTATTTGCTTACTCCATCTCTGGTTAATGGAACAGATTCCATCTTATCTTTTTCTGTTGAAACTATTTCAAGGACAAACTCAGGTACTACCTCCTTCACTGAAATAACTTTCCTTGGCACCACCTTCTTCCTCCACCTCATCCCCAAAACAAAAGTGACTTCTGCTTTCTCCAATTCTCATAGCGCTTTGTCTGGAACTCACCTGTGTATCATTTCTTATTAATGTACCTATTATCCCCAACTCCCTTCCCCCTTCAACTACAGACACCTTCAGAGTAAGAACTCTGTCTTTTTTTTTTGTCTTCATATCCCTAGCCCTTGACTCTCGATACATGCCACATACTCATATTCGTGTTCTCTCTCTTTCTCTCTCTCTTTCCCTCTAGCTCTTTCAAACACACACACACACACACACACACACACACACACACATATGCTATCCAAGAGGATACCCCTCTTTGAATGACATAGACCTGAGAAATGGTGGGGGGAGAATTGCTCCAAAATATGTAACTTTATTATCTTTTAAGTTCAAGTAACATTTATTTATTTGTTTGTTTGTTTATTTATTTATTTATTTAATTGCAAGGCAATTGGGGTTAAGTAACTTGCCCAGGGTCACACAGATAGAAAGTGTCATGTGTCTGAGGCCACATTTGAACTCAGATCCTCCTGACTCCAGGGCCAGTGCTCTATCCAATGCGCCACCTAGCTGCCCCTAGGTAAAAATCTATTATGTAGGACTAATCAATCAACAAGCATTTGTTTATATATTTACAAGAGCATGTACAGGCAACTCCCTTGTGTCACATTTCCCTTTTGGGAGGCCATGGAGGATGTGGATTTTTTATCGTGTCATTTCTGGAGTTCCCTCCAGCAATGCACATTGTAACCCATCCATGCCTGACCATTTTGTGTATTTCTCATCCATGATCTCCCCAAAAGTTCACCACAGGGGGTTCACTTATATATACCTATGTAAATACAAAAATAAATGCTTGTTGAATGATTATAAATGAGTGCTTAATAGATGTTAGTTGAATAGAAAAGAGTAAGAAATAGAATAAGAATTGTCTTTTCAATTTTTTTTTTAATTTTTTCTGTTTCAGGTCTGTTTTATTCAGGGCGGGAGGTATCCTCCTGGAAAGCCTGGATCCTCTAGTCATGGAACCTTAGCCTGTTGTCCACCCTGGATCCTATCAGTCTAAATCCCAGGGAATGGGAACAGCATCTGTCTTGGGAACAGTCAAGACTTGGGGGAGAACAATGGCCAGAGATTAGTGCTACCTGACCTAAAAAACTCAATGATGAGGCTGAACAGTTTGGCTGTCATTCATTCCTTCAACCATCGCTGCCCCAGTCTGGAAAACAGATGATCTGCCTCACTGGCTAACGGAATCTGGGAGAAAGTCCATGAGACCATATTTCCCCTACATACTCCAACCAATTTGTTCC